CGACGTGCGTCTTTTTGACTTTTTTTTTTTGTGCAGCGGTTGATATGGTAGGACGAAGAGATGCAGGGGGAAGGAGGAAGAAGAAGAACAAGGAGGAGGGGGAGATGGGAGGTAGAGAAGAAAAACATGAAGAAGAGAGAGGCAGAGAAGAGAACGATGGGGGACTGAGCGAGGTGGAAAGAGGATGGAGGATAGAACAAGGCAGGGAGTTGTCAAGTTGGGTAGGGACAGTAGTTTCCGGGAAATAGGTATTCAATGGTCGGTTAAAAGAAACAGGATATCAATGAGACCAGGCTGGAATTGACTGGATGAAAGCAACTGACCGAGGATGGGAGAGGAGGTGGCGAGGATGGGATAGGAGGTGGCGAGGATGGGAGAGGAGGTGGCGAGGATTGGATAGGAGGTGGACCCAGCTGACTCTCGTTGTTAGCTTCTTCATGCAGCCGTCTCAGGCATGAGCTGACAAGATCAAAAGAAGGAGTATCAAGTCATATCCTTTCACTGACCAATTGAACTTGGACGAAGCTATCTAAGATGGCAGATATGTTGTCGCTTGGGGATCAAACTCTCAGCAATGCGAGAAATGCGCTTGATGACTGGAACTTCGACCTTGCGCGGTCGTTTCGGGTGATTATCTTGAACGCAGACAGTAAGCTCGTTCTTGACTGTCTTGGCAGGAAAGCGCCTCAAAATACTTTCGCGAAGCAGGAGTAGATAAATCGAGCGAGTTGGATGCTCTGCTCCGTGAGATTGAAGAAGGGGAGCGAGAAGAGAGGGAAATGAGAATGGAACAACAGAAGATGGTGATGCTGATGCAAGAGAAAGCCCCAAGAGTCCATGTCTAAGCAGTCAGAGGAACCAGGCAAAGCAAGCGAGTCCATATCAAAACAATCTGAAGGGGGAAAGAATTGCGAGTGGAAAAAGTTGAATCAACTTCCGCAGAGGTACCACACCGTAATGATCCTCAAGACGTGGTGACTGGAGGAGAAACCGCAGCCGCACGTCTTGAGCAGGAGGAAGCACAGCAGGTTGAAAGAGAGGTGCCAAGAGACGACGAGAGGGATGAAGGAACGGAGGACATGCAGATAGAGGACAGCGAGGGCCTTCCCCTGAAATCAGAAGCGATGAACCTCGAGGAAGAAACCTGGGAAGGGAACTCGGACATGACAGGAGATCCTCCTTCCCCTCCCGAATACGCCTCAGAGTCAGACACCGAGAGCCGCGACTTTGACCTGGAAGCCCAACCGACAGAAGCTGCTCAGAATGTCGGTGGCATCTACGTGGAAGGAAATGCTGGAGATGTCAACAAGCACTTTGCGGATGAAGACCTTGAGCTGCTGAGAGAGCTCGAAGAGAGAAAGCTGATGGCTCTCAAGGCGATCGAAGCAAGTCAGGCGCACGTCTTGCTTCACAAGTCTGTTGTGACGCAGTCGTCTCAGAGGCTCTCCGCCCCTGATCCACCGGTGCAAGAGCAACACTCAAGAGCAGCAAGGTTGTATCCGGAGGCTGAAGAAGCAACATTGATACAAGAAGAAAAACAGGCAGCGGCGGCTCATTCAGCGAAAGAACGGAAAGAAGACAAAGGGGCAGGAGATGAAGGGGCAGGAGATTCTGAGAGGAGTGGAGAATCTGAAGATACCAACGACTCACTTGACTTCGAACCAAGACGGGCAGACTTTTTGAGTTTCGTGGATGATGCTGTTGTATACTATCGCACAAGGAAACGGGAAAGATACGGCAAACTTGGCGAGATGTGCTGGTACATAGTGTTCATCAGCATTGCGACGTCGCTCTTGCTCGTCTCTCAATCCTCGTTGGTGGGTCAGATGCACGCGACGCAAGTGAAGATGTGGCTCAACAAGAGCATCGAGTCCGTCACTACAGTCGAGCAGGTGCTTCCCTACCTGAAGAACATCCTCATAGATCGACACTACGTCGCAACCAACATCGCCGGCAATCTTGTCGCTGACGCGGGAATGTTTGGAATGTCTCCGCATCTCAGCAGTCGAGGAAGCATGTTGGGCAACAACATCGTAGTTGGCTTGTTGGAGTTAAGGCAGTGGAGGGCGCCAGAGCAATACTGCAAGACCCCAACCCTGCTGGGCAACAACTTCAAGCGATGCTTCCCCGAGCTGGACCCTCAGCATCGCGACATTCGCTCGAACCCTCCAGGAACCTCCTGGCCTGTCGACGACGACCTGAGATCTCCTGCCTGGAGCTTCTTCCAGCTGCCTGAGTTTGCGACACCCATCTACTCCTCTTTCGACCGCAGCTACGAGCAGGGGTCCTACATCGCCGTCCTACCTGACGCCCCCTTGGAAGCTGAGAAGCTGTTCGCCGACCTGATCAAGTATCGCTGGCTGGATGGAAATGCCACAAGAGCTGTCCAGCTTGAGTTCTCCACGTACAACCCCAATGTGAACATCTGGTCCGCTTGCTCCGTCCTCTTCGAGCAGTCTTTCGAGGGACGACTCATTCGCACCATCTTCGTTCGCAATGCTGATATCTGCCCCTCCTGCTCAAACATCAGTCAGGACAGTTATGTCTTGACCATTGTCTTGCTAGTTCTGGTCATCTTGTACACTTTGCTGCAGTTGGTGTTCTTGCAGCGGGAAGGCATCGGCTATTTCTTTCGCTGGCACAACCTAGTCAGCTGCGTGAACCTCGTTATCTTCTACGTCGTCATCGCCGTCCAAGTCTGGGTGAAGTCTGACGCAGATCAGACGCTGCTTGGCTCTCAGTCGCGGGTCACGACTCAGATTCCAGGGTACGTGTACTGGCTGGTGCAGACAAGCTACTGGAACTCGTTCAACGCGCTGCTGCTGTGGGTCAAGCTCCTAAAGTTCTGCGACTCGACGAGCTACAAGGCGGAGACTCTCGTCGTGACTTTCTTTCGCTGCCTCGCCCCCTTCCTCGCACTCGCCTGCTGCTACTCCATCGCCTACGGAGGCTTCGTCCTCGCCTTCACCTTGATCCTCGGGCCCGACGACCTTCGCTTCTACTCCTACATGCGAACGGCTCGCACACAATTCAGTATGCTCAGCGGGAGCGGGCCTCACTTCAAGGACATCCCGGCAGTCGATGGCGCCAACGACTTTGGGCTGATCAGCATCATCGGTGTGGTGTATCAGCTGGGCATGAAGATCTTCGGGCTGGGGTTCTTCGTGGGGATCATCCTCTACACGTACCAGCAGCAGGTGAAGCGAGAGGCCGAGACTCAGAGCCTCCTCGACTTCCGCTTATCTAGAGCTGCCTGGA